CTAAAGTAAACCTTTAAGTCTGTAAACAAAACACTCTTAATAAGTCAAGAGAATTTAAATAGAACACACTGCAGAAATAAGTAATGAAAACTCTCCACTTTCCAAACTGAAGAAATTCTTCAATTTAATAAAAGAAAGTCTGACATTTCATTGGTGTAAGCATGATTGCTGATCTCATGCTTACATTTGACTTATAAAAAGTGAATTGAATTATTCCTATATTTGAGAACTCCAAAGATTGTCCACCTTCAATCTCTGAAATATTATCTCTCTCTCTCTCACACACACACAAACACACATACGAATTATTTTTGAAAACCAAGAAGCACACTGTTTAGAGCCTCGAGGATTACAAGTGGGTAACTTGAAGCATTTTTTAGTCACCAGTGATCAACTTGACTGCCTCCATTGTAGTGCTTAAGGGTACAAAGTGGGCTCTTCCACTTACTAGATCTTTAACACTGAACAAATCACTTAACCTCTCTAAGTCTCAGTCTCTCCATCTGTAAAACAGTGATAACTACAACAGAGTTATTGCAAGGACTAAAGGAGAAAATGTATGTAACATGCTTAACACAATGCCTGGTATACAGCGAGTGCTCAAAAATTTACCTATTATAATTATCTGAAATCAATTTAACTTTAAAGCAGGCAAAATAACTACAGCCACAGAAAGGGGAGTATGGAGCATCAAAAAGAAAATTAAGAATTGTAAATTCTTCACCATACTGGCCAGCCACCAAAAAAAAAGAGAGAGAGAGAGAGAGAGAGAGTTAGTTGTAGATTCTAATCCATTCCCTGCCACTAACTATATGATCTTTGTAAATGAAGTAAACCTCTCTGGCTCTAGGTTACCTCATCTGTTAAATGAGATTCTAATCAATTCAAGGAACGTTTATTAAGTTCCTACAATACTCCCATAAAAGTCTAATACTATTCTAAGTCTTGTAAACACGAGGAAATATTTGTTGAAACTCATGTCTGTATGTTTCTCCAGAGGAGTACTGGATCAATAAATAAGTATATTTCTATGTCCAAATACATCTTTAAACAAAGTGAATTTGATTTGTAATTTTAAGTCATTATAATTTTGTTTATTTAATTATAAAGGAAAAGTCACCACATCTTACAGGAATTTCTACATGAAAATGACATACTTAAAACAGTTTTCTTCATAGATGACATTCCATATCTTCCACGCATCTGGTCCCTTGTAACCCGTGTAGCGCTCAGGATTAAGGAGCAAATCCACATATTCAGCATCAGGGGACTGTATGTCTGTAAAATAAAATGTTTTATTAAATCTTTCTTATCATCAGTTACCTTAAAGAACTAGTATATAAGGAGCAAATCCACATATTCAGCATCAGGGGACTGTATGTCTGTAAAATAAAATGTTTTATCAAATCTTTCTTATCGTCAGTTACCTTAAAGAACTAGTATACAAGACTGTATTCCATTGATTGTAAGACAGTACAAATGTAACAATGCATCAGGAATTTTAAAACAACTTTTCAAGAGAAAGAAAGGAAGAAAAAGGAGAAACAGACACAGCCACATTAACTGTGCACACTGGTTGAAAAAACATCCTGATTTTAGAATTGAATTTTAGAATTGAAGAAACATGGTAACTCAATTCTCATAAGCCATCCAAAGAATATAATACAGTCGTCCCTCAGTATCGTGAGGGATTGCTTCCAGGATCCCAGATACCAAAATTGCAGCCATTCAAGTCCCTGATATAAAATGGAGTAGTATTTTCATATAAAATAAGCACATCCTCTCATATGCTTTAAATCATGTCTAGATTACTTATAACACCTAATACAACGTAAATGTTATGTAATTAGTTGGTATACTGCATTTTTTATTTGTATTATTTTTTATTGTTGCACTGTTTTTTTAATTATTTGAATATTTTCAATCCATGGTTGGTTGAATCCCCTGATGGGAACTATGGATACCCAGAGCCAACTTGTACATTTCCTTCCACGTTGACCACAGCAGTTCGGCAGTAATTAAGGTAATCGAAGAATTGCTAGTACCATATACTGCTAGTTACCAAATACTTTCTTTTTAGGTGACCACCATCAGGATTCACTACCACTACTATCCTAAGTATGCAAAAGTTATATACAGAATGATTTTGTGTCAGTGTTATTTATAAAAGGGAAAAGTAGAAGCGACCCAAATGCCCAACACAGCACAGGCAGTTAGAAGCATGGGCTCTGGAGCCAGAATGCCTGGGTTAGAATCCAGGCCCTGCTACTTATTCACGATTTATAATTTATTACAACTTCGAAACAAAGATGTCCCACAGTCCTGCAGTGGCTTTGGGGAATTATTTAATAGTACTGCAATACCTTACTCGCCTATAAAGCTTAACAATATCAACCAAAAAAATGAGAAAGTAGGCAAAAATGGCCTTAAACCCACCAAAACAGATGACAAAAATCTGACCATAACGGTTTATGAGAGAGTCCATCAACCTTTCAACAATACCTACTTGTTAATAAAAAAAAAAAAGAAACAAAAACAAAACTAAGCATGGTTATTTTTATTCCAGTTCACAGCATACTAGAGGCAGAAATTAGGGGGCAAGTTGCTTCCAGAAGCAGCACAATGAAGCATCTAGAAATAACTGAGTGTCCAATGCAGAAGTGGCAATTAAAATAACTAGAAAAAGTAAATATAAGAGCTTAAAAAACAAATTAGCACTGAATCATCTAGTTCAGGGATGGATAACTCTGTTCAATTAACACTACAGGCAATTGCCATGATAGAGCAAACTACAATAAACTCATTTTTTAAAAACCCTGATTTTTAAAATATATAAATAATACTCACTTATCCATTACTTTAAGACAGAAAACTAACTACCAAGAAATGATTAAATTTTTAAATATTCTATCTAATTAAAGATAAACATTTGTTGCCTGATAATCTTACTTATGACAAATACTCCATCTCTCTTCACTTTATATTTAAAAAATGTTACTTTAACCATATTTTGCCATAAGATAATAGCTCAAATTTCTAATAAGGATTTATAAGATACCTTCTGTACTTCACCTACCTTTACATACATTATTTATTCCTTATAAAGCTGTTCTTGTATTAAAATATTCACCCTTTCTTAACAGAAGAAACTAATACAAGTGGGCAAGTGATTCACTGTACTCCACCACATAAGTAAATTTTTCATTCTCAGTTGGTGCTACACATTGTAGTCTCAAAAAGATACTTTATATATGGAAGTTAAGTATTACCATCCTTTTCTAACATTGCAGGCCTAAAAAAATTTGCTGTGTATTATAAATTTAGTTTTATCTCATACCACAATGTATAAGACCAAAAAATCATATGGAAAAGATGGCAAAACAGGGAGGTTGGGAGAATATTTTATCCTCTTTCTTCACTAGTCTAAATCTACATCCCCTTATCCAATACCGCTAGGACCAAATGTGTTTTGGAGTGGAGAACTTTTCAGATTTCACAAAGGTAATACAGTATATGCAACATATACTGAATATTACTCCAGTAACCTTTAATCAAAGACAAATATTTCTGTGGTGAAACACATGAATATTCACTCTAAGTGAATCTGTGCTAAACTTAGGGGGGGAAATATTCATTTTTTCAGAATTATCAGATTTTGGAGTTAGAAGGAAGGGATTATACATATGTATATGCCAAAACATGGTCATGTTTTCTTTTAAGAAAGGCATATTTTTTTTCCCAAAAAGAAGCCACAAAATTAAAAATAAGTACTTTCCCTTTTTCTTTCTGCTTTATAGGGATTGTAGCCTTTATATTTTGCTTGTAATTAAAATGATCTGTATCATTCTTTTCACTAATTCTTTAAAAGATCATTAATCCACTACAAAAGAGCCAAACAAGCATACCAAAATTAAGTTTGATTTGATTTTGTTTAGCCAATTAAGAGGCTAACATTTCAACTTAGAAAAAAGGAGATACTAGAAAAAGAAGAATGGCAGAACCCATAGATCTTGATCAAAGAGTTGTAATGGACTCTAGGGCTCCTAGATTTTAACAGCACCAGCACCCTGGCTTAGCGTTTGATGTCAAAAGCAACATGAACCATTATCAAGGAAAATATAACAGAAGCAGGTTTTTGTAATCCCTAGATTTTAGCTATTTATACAAAATGCATGTATATACTACAAAAATTATGTAAACGACTAGGTACACAGAACTGCAAAACTTGAAGTGATTTTTTTCCAAAAACTGAATTTTCTTTTTACATTGTTTTTTATTGTGGTAAAAATATATATATAATAAAATTTACCAGTTTAATCATATTTAAGTGTACAATTAAGTGGCATTACTTACATTCACAATGTTGTACAACCATCACCACTGTTTTCAAAACTTTTCTTTCGCCCCAAACAGAAACTTTGCAACCATTTAGTAATAACTCCCCACCTCCCCTTTCCCCCCACCCTCTGGTAACTGCTAATCTACTTTCTGTTTCTCTGAATTTCCCTATTCTAGATATTTCATGTAAGTGGAATCATACAATACTTGTCCTTTGTGTCTGACATTTCTCTTAGCATGCTTTCAAGTTTCATTCATGTTTCTTTTTGTTTTTGTTTTTGTTTTTATTTTAACTTATCAATACACAATGTAGTTGTTCTTCGTATCCCTTTACCAGTTCCACTTTCTCCCCCCTCTCCCTTCCCCTCCATCTACATCATATCTGTTCACTTGTCTTAACGAGTTCAAGGAATTGTTGCAATTGTTGTGTCTTCTTCCCCACCCCCACAATTTATTTGTTTGTATATTTATTTATTTATTTTTAGCTCCCACAAATAAGTGAGAACATGTGATATTTCTTTCTGTGCCTGACTTGTTTGTTGGTGGGACTACAAAATGGTGCAGTCTTTATGGAAAATGGTATGGAGGTTCCTCAAACAATTACAGATAGATCTACCATATGACCCAGCTATTCCACTGCTGGGAATATACCCAGAGGATAGAAATCATCATGTCAAAGGGATACCTGTACTCCCTTGTTTTTTGCAGCACTATTTACAATAGCCAAGAGTTGGAACAAGCCCAAATGTCTATCATCAGATGAGTGGAAAATGTGGTATATCTACACAATGGAATACTACTCTGCTATAAAAAAAGAATGAAATACTACCATTTGCAGCAACATGGATGGACTTAAAGAAAATTATATCAAGGATCGTTCATGTTTTAACATGTATTAGAATTTCATTCTTTTTTCTAGCCGAATAGTATTCCATTGTACATTATACATTTTGTTTATCCATTCATCTGGTGATGGACAATTGGGTTGTTTCTACCTTTTGTCTATTGTGAATAATGCTGCAGTGAACACATATACCAGTATCTGTTTGAGTCCTTGTCTTCAGTTCTTTTGAATATAATACCTAGGAATGGAATGTTAGGTCACATGGTAATTCTAGTTTGGCTTTTTGGAGAACTGCCAAATTGTTAGAAACTGAGGTTTTAAAAAATAATTTTAAAAGAAATTTTTTTCTGGGCCAAGCCCATGGCGCACTCAGGAGAGTGCAGCGCTGGGAGCACAGCAGCACTCCCGCCGCAGGTTCGGATCCTATATAGGGATGGCCAGTGCGCTCACTGGCTGAGCGCCATGCAGCCGGTCTCAAAAAAAGGACAAAAAAAAAATTTTTTTTCTTAGGTATCATTTCAACATAATGCATACTATAAAAAATGTTATACCATCAGCTTCACAGAAGTTGTCTGAAGAATCATCATGCTTGGTCCACTGAAGAACAGCCTTCTGTGTTTCCTCACTTCAAAGAAAAGAAATAGTGTTATTCTTTTTTTAAGTTAACATATTACGTGAAAGAAACATAAAATATTGGGCTGGCTGGTTAGTTCAGTTGGTTAGAGCATGGTGTTTTAACACCAAGGTCAAGGGTTCAAATCCCCATACTGGCCAGCCACATGAAAAAAAAAAGAAAGAAAAAAAGAAATATAAAATACTGCTGCAAAAAAAAAGGAAAAAAAAAAATCAAACCTCAGAGATTCATCCACTGCTCCAAGTCGTTCAGCTTGTTCACATTCTTCAATGAGATTATTGGCTTCTTCAGAATACTACAATGAAAAAGGAAATGAATAGAATACAAATTATTACATTTTAAATACTTTTTAGGAGAGCATGCTGCTGGTCACACCATGGTCACGGGTTCAGATCACCATACTGGCCAGTCACCAAAATATATATATATATATATATATATTAATTAAAAAGTGGAAATTAAAAATTAAAAACTTTTTAAAAGAATTTAGGAGTTATTTGAGGCTCTTTTTATACCTGGTACTATCACCCTGGCTTGGAAACTTTAAATAAAAAAATTCCTCCTGCAGCAAAAAAAAATAAGTAAAATGCTTTACCTCTTGTTTTTGTTGGAGAACACGATTTACTATTATGTTCACAAAATAAAGAATATAGTTCTGATAACTAAAATGTCCACTAAGAAAACCTTCCAGGTATAAGGAAGTCAAGTTATGAGACAAGTAATCAAGAGGCACTGTCCCACTTTTTTTAAAGACCTGTGAGCATGAGTTTTTTCTCCCATAAACCAAGTGGTTGGACTGGATCATGTGTATCCTATACCATAATTCTCAAAATGCCTGGAGCCTACCGAGTGTTATAAAAAGTATTCCAATATCTTTAGGCATTGAAAATATATTCTTTATATAAAAAATGGTAATAGAACTCAGATTTGGAAGACACTAATGTGGATACAGTATAAATGATTAAAGATGTATAACATTTAAAAAAAAATTCTTTAACAACCATATTTTTCTCACTGTCTAAGTCATTTTATATATATATTACGGGAGGCCTGTACATGGCACAGGGGAAAAGTGTGGTTCATGAGATTTCACAGCACACCAGTCATCACCACCATAGAGCTGAAAGACAACATTGTAATCAGCAGGCCATGAATTCAATCCCTCGACAAATATCTACTGAGTGCCTATTATGACCTTATTGGGATGACCATACAAAATACTGCCTAGAGTAGGACACTAAAATAACTGAAGTGATATAATGTTTTAAGGAACACTGAAGTAACTGAAATGATATAATTTTATGAAACATTTATTTATTAAATGGCAAATTTCTTCATTATATTGATCAACATATAAGATGGCTCAATTCAAAAACTATTTTCAAAAATAAAATTCTTTCATACATAATTAAGTATTAAAGGGTTAAAGGATATGATGTATTCAACCTACAATCAAATGGCTCAGAAATTAATATGTATATAGAAAAAGCATGATAAAACAAATGTAGCAAAATATGAAAAATTAGTGACTCTGCAGAAGGTGTACAAAATGTCATTGTACTAATCTCGCAACTTTTATGTAAGTTGGAAATTATTTGAAAATAAAGTTAAAAATATATATCAAAATGAAGTAAGCCAGGCACAGAAAGGCAAATACCACATGATCTCCTTCATATGTGGAAGCTACAAAAAAAAAAAAAGGTGGTTCTCATAGAAGTAGAGAGTAGAATAATAGTTACCAAAGGCTGGGACGGGAGGGGGACAAAGGGAGAGGCAAAGTGGTAGATTAATGGGCACAAAGCTATGCTACCTACCCTAAGATAATCAATGTACAGTGTATGTATGTATTGATATACCACACTGTACTCCACAAATCTGTAAAATTAAATATTAAAATAAAAAAATTTAAAAATTTGAAAAAGAATGAAATGTATTCAAAAATAATATACATTTATGTGTATTAAAACAAAATTTTAGAAACCTTATTACTGTGATTACCTGAATATTAAAAAAATGAGTTAATGGGCCGGCCCGGTGGTGCGCTGGAGAGTGCGCCACTTGGGAGCGCGGCGGCGCTCCCGCCGAGGGTTCGGATCCCATGTGGAGACCGGTTCCCGCTCACTGGCTGAGCGCGGTGCGGGCGCAACACCGAGGGTTGCGATCCCGTTGCCGGTCAGTAAAAAAGACAAAGAGGAAAAAAAAATGAGTTAAGGGCTGGCCCGTGGCTCACTCGGGAGAGTGTGGTGCTGATAACACCAAGCCAAGGGTTAAGATCCACTTACCAGTCATCTTCTAAAAAAAAAAAAAACGAGTTAAAATACTATTCTTCATTCCTATTTAATCAGCTTCTTAGTCACATCTGTCTCAAAACCATGTCATTAGCATTTTTCTGAAGAACATACTTTTCCAATATGTTATTATTTTTAATTTTTATAAAATTGCCCCTAATCTTCTTCAAATTTTCTTTTTTTTTTTTTTTTTTTCTTTTGTCTTTTTTTCCGTGTCTGGCAACAGATCGCAACCCTCAGTGTTGCCCCCGTAGTGGACCGGGGACCGGCAACGGGACCGCAACCCTCGGTGTTGCTCCCGCGCCTCGCTCAGCCAGTGAGTGGGAACCGGTCTGCACGTGGGATCCGAACCCTCGGGCGGGAGCGCCGCCGCGCTTCCCAAGCGGCGCACTATACAGTGCGCCACCGGGCCGGCCCTACATTTTATGGTTAATTAATCAATTTGAAATTACCAATACCTTCAACTGGCTCTTCTCTGCAGACATCATTTTTTAATTAAGAAAATATTTTCTTTTCTTTTTTTTTTGGTGGCTGGCCAGTAAGAAAATATTTTCTTTATAGGTAAATATGTGAAACTATTTTGGCCTAAGTAGTTTCACAAGTTCTATTCTTTGGTTCCCAAAGTACATTTCTTCAAATAAATATTTTAAGCCAAATCTTATCAAATAAGTTGTCTCTATTTATTGTTTTAAATGTTTTTCCAAATTTAGATACTACAAAATTATAAGCCTTCTCAATTTCATTCTACTTCAGATCAAAATATAAATTTATCCAATTAAATGCAAAAGTTCCACCAAGAGGAGATTCTTTCCACAGTGGAGATACTCCAAAATTTCAATTATAAAATTTCAGAATTAAATACAATTTGAGCTTTCCTCAGGTAATGTGTTCAATTCCTCCACATTTTTACAAGAATAAATTTCAAGATCTTTGTTAACAAGATTTGTTATAATAATTGCCATTTGTTAAACTGAAATTTTTTTTTTCCTTTTTTGTCTTTTTTACTGACCAGTAACGGGATCGCAACCCTCGGTGTCGCGCCTGCACCGGGGACCGGTTTTTTTTTCCCTTTTTGTCTTTTTTACTGACCGGTAACGGGATCACAACCCTTGGTGTTGCGCCCGCACCGAGCTCAGCCAGTGAGCGGGAACCGGTCTCCACATGGGATCCGAACCCTCGGCGGGAGCGCCTCCGCGCTCCCAAGCGGCGCACTCTCCAGTGCGCCACCGGGCCGGCCCATTAAACTGAAATTTTTAATTTTTTTCTTTTTGCATCCCACTCATTGATATTTTGAGCAAAGATTTTCCATTGATTTTGAACAAACTCCAATCAAAATTTAGAGGGCTCATTTATTAAAAACTGGTCAAAACTACTAAGAGACTCTTGGGTTGTTTTATAAAACAGTTTTTCATAGGCTCAAACATCTACAAAATCTGATTGATGATAGAAAGCAAAGAAAGTACTACCAAAGCCATACCAAAATAATTTTTTTCATCATCAGCTTCATCTCAAAATTTCATGGTCATTACTTAGTCTGTATATAAATATAAATAATATATATTTTGACAATTACTGCTTCTATCTTAATTACTAAGAAATCACAGCTTGTTTGGACACAGTTATAAATTATGTGTGTACTTTAATTACAAATGCATTTCTGCTCCACAGATTTCTTGATTTAGCAAGGACACTGTTTTTACCCAAAACATCATTTCTATCAAAATTTATATGTGTATTACCACCACAAAACAAATATTTTATCTTCAATTTTGAACTTTAACTGAATTTATACTAGCATTCACAATAGTGATTAAATATTTTCCTTTAATGGAATGAACCTCCAAAAGTTTTGAGTCCATCAATTGAAAGAAAAAAATCAAACAATTTTTGGAATAATTTTCTATTTGAAACAGTTGATGATGATGTCATTTATTTTTGCGCAAAGTTTTTCTGCCATTGGAGCCAACAAGTCGATAACTATGACTTTACTCTTTGACTCTGTGTGTACACAAGAAAACATGGAATCCAAAATGAGTAAAATTAGTTTAGAATCTATGGTGGAAAAGGTTCAGAACAGTGGTTGCTTCTGGGGAAGGAGTGGAGATGACTGGGACAGTGTATGAAAGGGAACTTTCTAGGGTAATGGTGACATTCTATATCTTAATAGAAGCCTAAGTTACACAGGTGTTTGCATCTGTCAACATTCAGCAAATGGACACCTGAGAATTGTGCATTTCATTGTATGTTAGTTTTATAAAAAGTACATTCAAAGGGTCTTCAAAATGTTCATGGAGGGGCCGGCCCGGTGGCGCACTGCTACAGTGCGCTGCTTGGGAGCACGGCGGCGCTCCCGCTGAGGGTTCGGATCCCACATACAGACCGGTTCCTGCTCACTGGCTGAGCGAGGTGCGGACACAGCACTGAGGGGTGCAATCCCGTTGCCGGTCCCGGTCCGGTGCGGGCGCGACACTGAGGGTTGCGATCCGTTGCCGGACACGAAAAAAGACAAAAAAAAAAATGTTCATGGAGGGCCGGCCCAGTGGCGCACTCAGTAGAGTGCGGCGCTTAGGAGCGCGGCGGCACTCCCGCCGAGGGTTCGGATCCCACATACAGACCGGTTCCCGCTCACTGGCTGAGCCGGTGCGGGCGCGACACTGAGGGTTGCGATCCCATTGCTGGTCGCGGTACAGGCACAACACTGAGGGTTGCGATCCCGTTACCGGTCACAAAAAAAGACAAAAAGGAAAAAAAAATGTTCATGGAAAGATTCATATTATCTTTTAATTTTATTTCCCATGAATTTTTTTTTTTTTTTTTGGCAGTTGACCAGTACCTGGAACTGTAGACCTTGGTGCTATCAGCACCATTCTCTAACCATCTGAGCTAACCAGTCAGCTCATCCATGAACTTTCTGAAGTACCCTCGTATAAACAAATACCGGATTCTAGTTAATGATATAGTTATGTGTATCCACAGAGTTAATGATGTATAGTTAGGACTATGTATACTGCTGCCTGCAATTTATTTTGAAATGCATCCAAAAAATAAGATGTTCTGATGGATGGCTAGAAGAATGAACAAATGGACAGATATATGGTAAAGTAAGCTTATTAAAATATTAATGGTAGAATCTAGGTGATGGGAATAAGAATGTTCACATAAAAACTCCTTTAACTCTGCTATACGTTTGAAAAGTTTCACAATAAAATGTTAGGAAAAAATTTAATTCAGAAGTTATTTAGTCTGAATGAAAAATCACATATTCCTGAGTGATACATAAATGTACTCTCTGTGGCTACACATGTTAAATTGTCTATAGATGCAGTCTTCTTAAAGTAACCACTAACTTACTTACAAAATAGACACTGAGGCTTTGTCAGTAGATTTGTGTGTTCTGGTTTTCATATAGTCAATGATATTTCTACGGCCATGTGAATAGTAAATAATGATCTTTTGTTCAAGTTACAAAATCATGGTGAACCGTCATGAGAAACAGAAATTCAGTACTTTACTTTTCATGGAACATGTACTTCCTTTTTCCTTTTTTAGTTATTTCAGCCAAAAGGATTCATTGCAAAATAAAAAAGTATTACCAAACAGTAAAATAACTATGCAGTTATCAATTTACACTATACAGTATAATTAAGGATAAAACCACTATAGCAAGTCTATTCTCTATGCAGGATTGCTCAGCCTCTATTTCCTATATATATATTTCTCATAAGCATAACCTATAATTTCACAGGTTTCTCACTGACCAGTCAAAAGGCAGCTTTGTACCTTAGGGCATATTGCAGGTAGCACACAGGCCACACCACAAATGGCTGCTAACTCCAACAGACCAACAGGGGCAGCAGTGTCCACCACTTTTCCCCCAACTTCCCAAGACTGTAAGGAGGTAGCTGTCTTTAGCCATTTGTGTTTGAGTGCAAATATTTATCAGCAGGCACCTAGTATACTGTCCTTGAGAAAGGTTTAGCTTCTTTGCATGTGGAAAGAGCCAGAAAAAGGACAAGTTCTTGTTTTCATCTTTGTGTTAAAGTAAAAACTCTATTTAGTATACATATATATCAAATATAAAGAGGAGACAACAGAGGAAGTTAGAAATACCAAGTATTTGGTCTACAAAATCCATCCCAAATTATTTTAATGCAACTGTTAATATTTTATTTAAAAAAATAAGAAACTCAGAAGAAACGATAAATCAGACAGGATGCCAGGACAAGAATAAACCAGTTCTGTCCCAGGCGAACTTTGGTGTATGGTCACTCCGTTTACTCTTGATACTTTATAAGGGCTTCGATTTTTACTTTGAGAGAGATGGGATACATAGGAGGATTTTAAACAAAGGAGAGATATAGTTTGATTTCTTTTTTTAAAAGAATTACTCTGGCTACTGTCTTAAAAAACTATAGAGAGGCAAGGGTGGAAGCAGGAAGATAATTTAAGAGGCTACTGCAATAATCCAGACAAAAAGTGATGATGGCTTGAAATACAGCTGCAACAATGTTGATTGTAAGATTCTGGGTATATTTTGAAACACTGTAGTCACAAATGTGAATCTGTCCACCAAAAAGACCTCAAAACAATAACTCAGTAACAATTAACACCCCTAAGACCCAGATTATGAGCTCTAAATACCATTTCCCACCGAAAGGACGAGGGCACATTAGGAAAATGGTTAGTTTCAAAACTGGAGCAAGAAAAATACAAAATAAGCCTAGAGCTCCTTCAAGTTAGTGCCTGTGGCCTTTTGACATGATTCCAGTAGTCTTTAGTAAATTTCTTTTTGCTTTCTATTATAAAAGATGTTCTAGGCTTATTTTGTATTTTTCTTGCTCCAGTCTTCAAATTAATCATTTTTTCTAATGTGCCCTAGTTCTTTTGGTGGGAAATGGTACTTAGAGCTCATAATCTGGGTCCTAGGGGTGTTAATTGTTACTGAGTTATCATTGTTTTGAGGTCTTTTTGGTGAACAGATTCACACTTGTGACTACAGGGTTTCAAGTATAAGAAAGTACAGTATAGAAAGTAAGTATAGAAAGAATGATAGAATATCAATGTCTACAGCAAAACCCCCTGAACACACCAGACTTCGTCTGATCTTGGAAGTTAAGCAGGGTCAGGCCTGGTTAGTACTTGGATGAGAGAATTAGAATATCAACATTTTCAAACCCCTAATGAAATAATGCAACTAAGTAATAATCATCAAGCCTGCTAAACTTTTAAGTGAAAAGCCATTAGGGAACTCATAATGGACATATAATGAACCTAATGATCAATCTTAACATCATGAAAAAGGAAAAAAAAGACGTTATGTTCTTTTGACATGATGCAATATTAATTACACAGCAACTTCAATGAATATATATCAGAAAATAAATCTGAATCTGATAAGCCTTAGTACCTAACTACCAGTTTATAGAAAAATAAGTAGAGTAACCTGTTAAATGACATCACAGGGATGTAATCAGCTAAATACATAATGCAGGAAATTCTATAGGACAATAACTCATTGCCTTCAACACATAAATGGCACAGAGAAGAGAAAGAGGCAAGGGGAATGGACATGGATTAAAAGAAACTTATGAGCAGGAAATATATAAGTAGTCCCAGAAAGCAGGGAAATGCTGAAAAAGAAAAATGATGGGGTGTGAAAGGGACACAGGAGCCAACTGAAAGAGCTCCCAATAGCCAAAGCTGGAACAATTTGAGCAACAAAACAAAGTAGTGTTATGGATTGCATGTTTGTGTCCCCCAAAAATTCATATGTTGAAACCCTAACATATGGGATGGTATTAGAAGGTGGGGCCTCTAGGAGGTACTTAGGTTTAGATAAGATCATGAGGATAGAGCCCCCATAATAGGATTAGTGTTCTTATTGGCAGAAAGACTAGAGCGTGCTCTCTCCACCATGTGAGGATACAACCTGGTCTGTAAACAAGGAAGAATACCCTCAGCAGGAACCCAATTGGCAGGTTCCTTGATCCTGCATTTCCCAGGCTCCAGAATGGTAAGAAATAAATGTTTCTTCTTTAAGCCACCTAGTCTATGGTACTGTGTTATAGCAGCCTGGACTGACTAAAACAAGTAGTATTGGATTATAATCCAAAGTATAAAATAAATACCCATGAGTCCATATTAATATAAATAAATGATTGAATAAATAAGTGAAAAGGGACAGAGGGAAACAAGTCTCCCATACTAGAGAATTCCAAATAATAATAACTCACTCTGCCCTCAAAGAAGTGGAGAATAAGTCCATACTCCTTAAGAGTGGACTGTGCATAGTGACTTCCTTCTAAAGAATACAGTATGGAAAGGTCCGGGGAGGGGCGGTGTGCAATGAGTAAATCTACAGGGGAGAAACTTGACTAAAACTACCTCAACCAGGTTAACATTAACATGATCAAAGTTAGCATCAACAGTGATAAGTCAGTCGACAGTATACACCCTTGATATGATGTAATGAAAATGGCGCTTTACCTTTGTGGTCCTCCTCCCCAAAACACATAACCCCCATCTAATCATGAGAAAAACATTAGACAAATCCCAATTAAGGGATGTCCTATGAAATATTTGACTGGTAATCCTCAAAAACACCTTATCAAAAACAAAGTAAGTCTGGGAAACTGTCAAAGCCAAGAGGAGCCTAAGGAGACATGACTACTAAATATAACGTGGTATCCTGGAACAGAAAAAGGATATCGGGTAAATATTAAAGAAATCTGAATAAAGAACAGACTTTAGTTAGTGATAATGTACCAATATTAGTTCACGAATTGTAACAAATGTTCCATACTCATGTAAAATGCTAATTATGGAGGATACTGGGTGCGGGGTATATTGGAACTCTGTACTATCTTCACAATCTTTCTGTAAATCTAAAACTGTTACAAAATTAAAAGTTTATTTAAAAAGAGAGAGAGACATAAGACACATCAACCAAACATAATGTGTGGAATGTGTTTGAATCCTGTTTCAAATGAACTAAATATTAAGGTATTTATGAAACAGAGAAAAATAAACCCTGATGGTGGGTTTTTTTTTTTTTAAGTAACTTTTTATCTTAGAGATGTATATGAATGATGTATAAACAAAATAATTTATCTGAAATTGGCTTTAAAATAATTGGGAGAATGGAGTGGAAGTTACAGACGAAGCAAGATTGCCCATATATTGGTAATTGCTGAAGCTGGGTGATGGATACATGTTTTTGTTTTTTTCCCTACTTTTATTTATCTTTCATACTTTCTACAATGAAAGATTAAACAAGGGTAAACAAAAATAAACTAACAAAAAGAATTGGAGCCATTGAGTATAAAGAACTCTAAAGGGCTTTCACTGTAAAGGGGAGCAGAGAAATGGGATATAGGTGGCAGAGGAAATAGGTTTTTTGGGTTTTTTAATAGGACACTAGACACATCAATAAGTGTATGTACATACCTTGTAGCTTGCAGATTTAATCCCATCAGGAACTTCATCCTGAAAAAGAAAAAAAAAAGTTTTTAGATGGAATTTATTCCATCTTCTGAAAAAATATTTTAAAGTTCTATGATTTATGAGAAAAAAATCTTAAGACAAATTATTAAAGTTAGATTACTTTTTAACTTTAACTGAAAATAATTAGGCAGTTTTTATCTGATTTCTTAAAAGTAAATAAAAATTCAACAACAAATTATTCTGCAGATTGCTGGTCATATATTGTAGTACAGCATGGAAATGTAAAAATAGTCACTTAGCCATTTTTCCCTTTGATGTTCAAACTATCCCATATTTGGCCACTACGAGATCCCCTAAGTGCTGACTTATATTAGCACTGTATCCTTTTGATATTATTCTAGTAGTCCTTAGTAGCACTTTTTGTTTTCTGTGATGATAAGATATTCCAGGTTCATCTTGTACATTTCTTGCTCCACTCTTTGAATCAACCATTTTATAAGGAGTCCTAGTTTTTTCAGAGGAAATTGGTACCAGTTTTTAGTCCTGTTGGCCACTTACTGATGACAGGAACTATCTGTCTATCCTCAAAGTAATGCAGTGAGTAGATAATGATGTATCAGAACTCTGTAAATTTCAGGGCACTATAACAATGTTTGGTAAATTCCTGAAACAGATTACACGTGCACAAAGCTAAGGACCCACACAATCCATCATTTTATTGTGTACCCTTCCAGACTTTGAACTAGGTCAACATATATTGTTTTTCTGTGGCCAGGCATTTAGATAGTTTCTAATTTTTTCATATAATGAATAATACCACATTTATAGATTAATTTCAGCAAAATTGACATCTTTATAATATTCAGTACTTCTTTACAATCATCTTTGAACATCTGTCCAAATGTTTTAAGTAAAATTCCTAGTAGAATTACTAGGTCAAAAGAAATGTACCATTTTAATTTTTTTGATACCGTTGCCAAATTGATCTCCAAGAAGACAACCACCAGAGTGCTCATTTCTTATTTTCAGACTAGCACTGGGTATTGTTTACTTTTTCACATTGGGCAATTAAAATGTAGGTGAAGAATCTTGTTCTGATTAATTTTAAAGGGAATAAATGACTGGCCTTTTAGCTTAAGGAGAGATTCCAGCTTCTATGAGCAGACAGTCTGCCTCACTCAGATCTTCCCTGGAATCAGGGTGCAAACCAAGGGATATGGCTTTAAAAGAGCCAAGTATGAGGAAGAGAACTTCAATTTTTATCATTTTTCTATCTCCTGCTAGGTCACCGGGTATAACCCGAACTAAATATAAAAAGGAACTAAAAAAGGAAATCAAAGTGTTGGCAAGGGCCGGCCCGGTGGCGCACTGGAGAGTGCGCCACTTGGGAGCGCGGCGGCGCTCCCGCCGAGGGTTCGGATCCCATGTGGAGACCGGTTCCCACTCACTGGCTGAGCGCGGTGCGGGCGCGACACCGAGGGTTGCGATCCCGTTGCCGGTCAGTAAAAAAAGACAAAAAGGAAAAAAAAAAAGTGTTGGTAAAAAGGAAACTGGTCTTTGTTCCTTATTCAGCCCAAAAAGGCATTAACAAAATATCAGCAGACCACCCAAAGTAGTGAAATAACTGTGTTTAACCTTGTACATATACTAGAGTAAGAAAGAACCTTTCATTGTTTAGGAGTGATCAAACAACTCAACAGTAAAAAACCAAATAATCCAATTTAAAAATGGGCAAAGGAGCTGAGTAGACATTTCTCAAAACAAGATATACAAATGGCCAACAAGTATATGAAAAAATGCTCAACGTCACTAATCATGAGGGAAATGCAAGTCAAAACCATATTGAGATATCATCTCACCCCCAGTTGGACTGGCTATTACCAAAAAGACAGAGAATAAAAAATGCTGGCAAGGATGCAAAGAAAGGGGAACACTCTTGGTGGAGCTATAAATTAGTACGGATGTTATGGAAAATAGTATGGAGGTTTCCCAAATAACTACAGATAGAACCACCATACAATTCAGCAATCCTACTACCAGGTATATATAACTACAATACTACAATACAACCCAGCAATACTACTACTGGGTATATACAACTACAGATAGAACTACCATACATTCCAGCAATCCTACTACTGGGTATAAGCCCAAAGGAATGGAAATCATCATGTCCAAGGGATACCTGCATTCCCATGTTTATCTCAGCTCTATTAACAATAGCCAAGATATAGAACCAACCTAAATGTCCATCAATGGACGACTGGTTAAGGAAAATGTGGCGTATATACACAATGGAAAACTACTCAGTCATAAAAAAGAATGAAATTCTGCCATTCGCAGCAGCATGGATGAGTTTAGAGAAAATTGTGTTAAATAAAACAAGCCAGGAACAGAAAGAGAAATACTGCATGTCCTCACTCATAAGTGGGAGCTAAAAACTAAATAAATAAAAGAAAGAAAGAGAAAAAGAGAGAACAATCACAATAATATGTTGACCTTCCAGAAGGGGAAAAGAGAACTATGGTTACTAGAGGTGGGAAAGTGGGAAGGGGGTGGGGCTTGTGAGAAATTAGTTAATAGACACAAGGAATGACTACACTTTGTGATGATGAATATACTAATTATCCTGATTTGATCATCACACATTGGACACAGGTATTGATATTCAACTCTGTACCCACAAATATATTATAATCAATTAAGCCTTAATAAAAAATAAATTCCCCAACTAATTTTTCCCATTACTAAATTATAAATGCAAGAACTTATAAAATAAAAAGAAACATTTAAATTGATAATATCACTTTAATGATATGCTTACACTTTAATAATAGTAACATAAGGTGTTTCAAAATTAATCCTTGAATTTTCAAAAAGGTATGTCTATGAGAATTAATATAATTAAAAACATGCTTCTCATTCTCATAATAAAATACTTTGCTGTAATTTCACATGCTAGATAAGTCTATGTAGTAATATTCACATGTATTAAAATAATCTGCTCAAAACCACAGTACCATTCCACACCTAGTAGGATGGCTATTATCCAAAAAAAACCTCAGAAAATATCAGTGTTGTCGAGAATGTGGAGAAATTGAAATTCTTGTGCCCTGCTGAGAGGAACATAAAATAGTATAAACACTGTGCAAGACAGTATTTCAGTTCCACAATTAAACACAGAATTACTACATGATCCAGCAATTCCACTTCTAGGTATATACCCAAAAGAATTAAAAGTGGGAACTTAAATATTTCTACGCCCATGTTCATAGCAACATTATTCAAAATAGACAAAAGGCAGAAACAACCCAAAAGTCCATCAACAGATGAACAGATAAACAAAATATAATATAGGCATACAGTGGGATGTTATTCAGTCTTTAAAAAGGAATAAATTCTGATGCATGCTACAACATGTATCAGCTTGAAAACATTATGCTAAGTGAAATAAGCCAGACATAAAAGGACAAATGTTGTATAACTCCCTTTACATGAGGCACCTAGAATAGTCAAGTTCACAGAGAAAGAAAGTAGAATGGTGGTTGCAGGATTGAGAGGAGGGGGTTGGGGAGTTACTGTTTCGCGGGCATAGAGTTTCAGTTTGGGAGGATGGAAAAGTTGTAGAGATGGTTGCACAACAATGTAAATGCACTTAATGCCACTTAAAAATGATTAAAATGGTAAATTTTATCTTATGTATATTTTACAACAATAAGAATGTAAAATAAAAATATGTGCTTTTAGAGGGGAAAAAACTGCTTCATTTGAAAGTATAAAAAAATCTCTGCTTTCACAGTGGAATACTTCAAATTTTAATTCTCCGAGAATCCCTAAGAAAAACCAGGTGTTTTGGCCACTCTCAACCCCTAACCTGGGAAATGCAAGGAAAAAACACACCCAAAAAAGAGGAGGGATCTTGTTTATACCTTAATTAATTTCATTTTATTATACTACATACATAACTGTGCTCAGGTAAGATGTAAGAAGAGAAACAAATATCAAGCGAAAAGAACTGTTAACCTCCTTATTAAGTCAGAGGGTTATATTAACCACAAATTTTTAACTCTATAATTATGAAGGCAATATAGTTCAAAATAGGTTTTCTACTTCTAAGTTTAGGTTTTTAATAGGTAACTATTGAATATTACATTTAAACTAAGAATAAAAATATTATTTTAGTAGTATTGGCTCCCTTTAAAAAGTTGTAATAGATGAAAAAAGATGTAACAGGTTTTTTTTGTTTTGTTTTGTTTTGTTTTATTTTAACTTCTCAATATACATTGTAGTTGATTTTCATGTCCCTTTACCCGTTCCTCTTTCCCCACTCCCTCTCTCCGCCCCCGCCAACTACATCATATCTGTTCACTTGTCTTAACAAGTTCAAGGAATTGTTGTGATTGTTGTGTCTTCTTCCCCCGCACACCCTTTATTTGTGTGTTTATTTATTTATTTTTAGCCCCCACAAATAAGTGAGAACATGTGATATTTCTCTTTCTGTGCCTGACTTGTTTCACTTAATATAACTTTCTCTAAGTCCATCCATGTTTTTGCAAATAGTAGTATTTATGGTTTTTAAGTGTATACATGGTTCTTACAGATTGACAAGGTTTGACAGCACAGTCCCTTCTTCCACACTGGCTGATATCATTCCAAAAAGGACATGGCTTCTTCAGATTTACCTGTAAAATAATAGAAAAAAAAACTTATAGAAATAAGAATCCCAAGATTATAATCAACAGATGTTGAGTTATGAGGCTATAACCTGGTCATGTTATCAGCTACAGTTATTCTATTTCTTCCACTTACCTGTTGTCAAGTTCCAATGATTGTATAAATGTACAGTGGGTGTAAGTAAACTGGTAGCCTTGGTTAGAAAGACATAGACTGCTACTAAACAGACCCATGAACAGATGGAAGCTAGGAGCCGAAGTAGCTCATATCATCACTGCTCAATTCATATTCGTTTTAAGCAAGAAACAGTTAACAGGTAGAGAAGACTTAAACAATTGTGAACTCAGACTACAACCTAGTACTCCCATGATCAGGTTTTCTAAACTCTTCCAGTAGATATCTCAAGATAAATTACCACAAGCAGCTTGTTAAAATAATACAGGTCATAGTAAAGTCATTTCTTCTCAAACATATTTCATTTAATTATTTTAATTAATTGGAACCAATCTGACGCTATAGAAAATTATGAACTCATTATTTTAATAACAATATAATAGTTTCTATTATAACTTCAATGTAACCAACTAATATCTAACTTTAGAGTGCAAAACTCAGTTATTTAAAGTATCTAATGGGTGGTTTCAGAACCATATCGTTTACTCTTGTGAACTGAACTTTCCTAAGAAAGCTTCTATCAATGTGTAAATAATAACCGCAATTCTGAAGCTTAGTAATTTTTAAGAAAATATAATTATCCATTTAAACATTAAATATTCTTATACCAAAAAATTAAAATTAACCATACCTTGTAATATCTAAAGTAGTCACTTTCAAGAAGTTTTTGCAATCTTGGGAAAAGCCTGTAGTTATTAAATCTATCAATGGTTTCAACATCACAGGTACAATCATCCAAGTAACCACTAACCTGTTACAAAGAAAATGAAATATTAAATTAAAATGTCCTAGATGCAACAAGGTTCCTTTTCCTTAACCAACCCTTTTCCTCCCTTCCCCCCATAATTTCCTGAATGGGATATGACAATAATCTAGTAATGCTGTTCCTCTTACTATATACCTAGATGACCAAGGGTGGGCATCTGACCCAAACCAGGTAATAGTCCCCTCTCCAAAAATCTGGAATTGACACTAAGAGGGAGAGATGTATCTCCCTGTGGCAAGATCAGTGAACAAGTAAACTCAGACCATATTTCATCATGTGAACTGAGGAGCACATGAGCCAGTTGGCAGAGAGAGGAAAGATTTTTAAAGATATACGAAAGAGCAGAGGGCATATGCTACTTGGATACCCTGGGGATTTCCAGCTCCCACTTTCCTGCCATCTGTCTTTCCTGTCACCCAGGTGCATGCCCATCCTTGGCTTTTTATGACAATCTTTTCTTGTAACTCAGTTTCCTCTGTCTTTCCTTCATTTTAATTTTCCACAGGATGTGTAGGTCAGAGACAAGTTTGATGAATGTATAAAAAGAAGTAATACTGAATTTATAAAAGAAACATAATTCATTATGAGGATCGAAAGAAACATAATTCATTATAACGACCCTCAAATACTGGGTCATAACAATTTTTATAGGTTTGAGATGATACTTATAAACTTATCGTTAACACTGAGATAGCAAACTGACCACAAAGCCAATCCTATCTTCAAATGCTTAAAATTGACGTCTTAACTGTGTTTACTAAATCAAACTATTAAATGCACCTATATACTAGGATACAATGTGAAATCATATTTCATATTCTAATCAGACAATGTTATCAGCTGTGGGGCTAGGCAAACACCTAATAGGATTAATTAAAGATTGCTTTAAGTAACAAATACATCATGATTAAAAAAATAAAAATAAAACCAGCATGCTGCAAAAGAGATCCTTATCATACTCTGCTCTGAATATTCACATTGTAAACCACTTTGGATTATATTTTAGGAAGACCTATTACCTACAAAAAAAAATTTTTAAATCTACTGGTAAGGAAGCAAATAAACAGTACTTTATCGAAATACAGAATTTAGATGCTTTTCCTCGGGAATATGTAAAATCCTATGCTACCTTTTAATTTGAGAACATCACAAAACAGTAATGAAAATTTTTCATCTATGAGATAAGAATACTTTGGATGATAATAGCAATATTCAAGATCTAAGACTTACTGATTTTCCTAGTCTTGTTTGTTTTTGACTAACATTTAGTCTCTAGAAATCTGATCTACATATTTTGTCATGTAATAACTGTTTTCATTTCATATGCAAATGTGTCCTTGTTTCCTACTGAGAATTCTCTGAGTACATAATAATCTTAGAGTCCTAATTTTGGATACCAACTACACAAAACTGCTTCTAACCTAGATGATTTGATTTTTCACACCTTCTTTTCAACCTTAAAAGCAGAGCTTCTAAGAACAAAAAATAGCTACTGTTTCTCCCCTTTGATACAAATTACTATACAAAGAATAACAGACACAGAAGCTGCAAAGGCCAAAGGAACACATGCAAAGTAGAGACATTAAGTCACAAAAGGAAACAAACACATGAAAAACTTGAGGGGAAGAGTTTGAAGCAATCCATTTCTCCCCCAGAGGAATTCACTTTTATGATAAAAATATATATATATATCTTCAAGACTCAGCTCAGCATCACCTTGTTAGAGAAGCTGTCCCTCAGGTACTCTTCATCACCTGCTGGGTTAACCACCTCTCCCATGTGCTCCCAGGACACTCCACATACATATAAGAATTACCCCACAGTACTGAACTTATCTATTTCACTCCTGCCCACTAGTGTGTAAAATCCTTGAGAGCAAAATCCTGTTTGTTCATCTTTCTATTCTCAGTACTTGGCACTGTACTTCTGGAAAGAGCACAGTAGATGCTGAATAATTATTTGTGGAATGGGTGGCTGAATGAATGAACAAATGCCGTTCGATGTCACTCATCACTGGAGACCAGCACCACACTGTCTAATTATACCTATGTACCACCATGTTACCTGTAGTGGTGGGTCTGTGCTCCAGAGCTCACAAGCACATTTGGTAGGAACACACTCACATACCAAGCAAAGCAAGCAGCAAAGGTAAACAAACCTTTGCACCCAACATTCTACCTATCTATATCCTAATTACAAAGGAAGCCATAAGAAGCCCCAAGCCAGAAAGAAACGCAAGATCCTCCAGAGCAGAGGTGGCATATAGCTAAGAGACCTCAAAGTAAGAGAAGGCAGAACAAATGGCAGATTTAAAAATCTTCTGCCCCTTACCTTAGATATGGAGTAGGAGGTATTCTCAACTGCAGCCTTAGGTAGGAAGCTAAGGAAATAAAATAATGGTGGCAGGGGTTTCAATACATGGATAGAACCCAGCAAAGATAAGACAAGAAGATACTTGGACATCCATACCATCTGACAATTTGGATAAGCCTGCCAACAGGCAGCAGAATCTGATCCCTAGAAGGAAGTCTGGCAGGTATGATGCCAAGCCCACTTCTAGAAACTAGAGAACAAGGCATGTCATTAGAATAGAGTCCCAGAAAAGGGCTAAGGTAGAAATACAGTTAATAGACCCAGGACAGAATCTTGGAAACAAAGCAAAATTCTAAGACCTAAACTAAGGCCAAAAGACAGGTGCCTACCTGTAACAATGATGACTTGATGGTGTGCTTCAGAACATGCTAAACCTGCTTAAATAAATAATACACTATCTCTCAAAGTGAAATAGAACTCTAGACCTACCATAGGAATGTAAATTTTTTAAAAAATTGCGACGCTCCCGCCTAGGGTTCGGATCCCATGTGGAGACAGATTCCTGCTCACTGGCTGAGCGTGGTGCAGGCGCAACACCAAGGGTTGCGATCCCGTTGCCGGTCCCCAGTACGGGTGCGACACCGAGGGTTGCGATCCCGTTACCGGTCAGTAAAAAAAAAGACAAAAAGGGGAAAAAAAAATGCATCCTTGTCCCACTCCCAAAGTGACTGATGCATGCTAAAATTTGAAGCTCACTGCTCTAGGCTTTAAGTAATAATCAGCCTTGGGTAGGGGACCAAGCTAACAGGCGGAGATTTAAAAAAGCCCTAGTTGAAGGACGGTGGATATAAGGACCACTGTAGGCCTGACAAATGGCATCGCTCAGTTTAAAATCCTGGTCTCTTAAGAACTGTAAATCTTCAAAGGCCTTCTATTTCAATCTCCCAAGCAAAATAGCAATCTTCTCCATACATACCCATCAAGGAAGAAGTGTACCACAATGGTTAGCATGCGGGTTCTGAAGTCAGACTTTCCTTAGTTTGAAACCCATCTTTGCCACTTACTAGTCTTTGACCAACCTAAATTATTTAACCTCTCTAGGCCTCAGTTTCTTACCTTAATACAAAATAATAATAGTTCTCATTTCAAAGATTTTATATCAGGACAAAATAAAGCAGAGTAAATACTCAGTAAATGTTTACTATTGTTACCGTACCTCTGCTAAAATGCTTCCACTACTCCCCGAGGCAGCCCACAATATTTTCTTAATGACTAAGAAAAAAATAGGCCAAGTTTGCAGTTAAAATTTTCCAAAAATTTGATATCCGGAGCACCAATGGAACAAAGAACTAGATGACCAAAAGTTAGCTATGGAGGGAACCCCAGTTACTTTCTCCATTGATTCTGGTTGATTTGACCAAGTGCAAAGGCAAGAGGAAAGAAAATTACACTGGCCCCTTGTTCACTATTCTCTACTTAGAAGTATCTTTTAATTTACAATGGAAGACAAAACAAAAAAATACTTTCTAAATAGTTTTCTTGTGTACCACAAATTCTAGTCCTACTATAGATTATAATTTTGTTTTTCACTCAAAGCAGTGTAAGAATATAGTCCTCATACTCATTCTGTATGAAATACCTTTTAAAAGTGCTCAAAGTGTCAATTAAGCAAGAAAAAGAAATAAAAGGCATCCAAATAGAAAAGAAAGAAGTAAAATTATCTGTTTGCTGATGACATGATCTTATATATAGAAAAGCCTAAAGACTCCATCATAAAATTGCTACAACTAGTAAACGAATTCAGTTAAGTTGCAGGATACGAAATCAATATACAAAAATCAGTGCATTTCTATACACTAACAATGAACTATCTGAAAAAGAAATTAAGGAAACAAGATCCTGTTTACTACAGTATCAAAAAGAATAAAATAGGAATAAATTTAATGATGGAGGTGAAAGATCTGTATACTGAAAACTATAAAACATTGATGAAAGAAATTGAAGATGATATAAATAAATGGAAAGATACCCTGTGTGCATGGTATCTTATCATTGGAAGAATTAATATTGTTAAAATGTCCACACTATCCAAAGCAATCTACAAATTCAATGCAGTGTCTATCAAAATCCCTAACAATGGTATTTTTCACAGGAATGGAAAAAACAATCCTAAAATTCATAATGACAAAAGACCCCAAATAGCTAAAGCAATCTTGAGCAAGAAGAACAAACCTGGAAGCAGCACACTTCCTGATGTCAAATTATATTACAAAGCTAAAGAATTTAAACAGTTTGGTACCAGTATAAAAACAGACTCATAGACCAATGGAACCCAACAGAAAGCCCAGATGTAATCCCACGCATACATGGTGAACTAATCTTTGACAAAGGCACCACAAACACACAGTGGGGAAAGGACAGTCCTCAGTAAATGGTGCTGAGAAAACTGGATATCCACATACAAAAAATAAAATAAAACTGGATCTTTATCTCACTCCATACACAAAAATCAACTCAAAATGGACCAAAGACTTAAACGTGAGACCTGAAACTGTAAAACTGCTACATGAAAACATAGGGAAAAACTTCCATGACACTGTCTTGCCAATGATTTTTTGGATATAACACCAAAAGCACAGGCAACAAAAGCAAAAATAAACAAGCTGGACTAC